GGGTCTCCTGGAAGGCATGCTAAGGCACATGAAAATCAACAAGGTGCTTGGTGACAGCCAGCATGGCTTCACTAAGGGGAAATCCTGCCTGACCAATTTGGTGGCCTTCTATGATGGGGCTACAGAACTGATGGACAGGGGTAGAGCAGTTGATGTCATCTACCTGGACTTGTGTAAAGCGTTCGACACTGTCCCACACGACATCCTTGTCTCTAAATTTCTCTTCTGAGGAAGTTGGGGCTGTTCAGCCTGGAGAAGAGAAGGCTGCATGGAGACCTCATAGCAGCCTTCCAGTATCTGAAGGGGGCCTATAGGGATGTTGGGGAGGGACTCTTCATTAGGGACTGTAGTGACAGGACAAGGGGTAACGGGTTAAACTTAAACAGGGGAAGTTTAGATTGGATATAAGGAGGAAATTCTTTCCTGTTAGGGTGTTGAGGCACTGGAATGGGTTGCCCAGGGAGGTTGTGAATGCTCCATCCCCAGTGGTGTTCAAGCCCAGGTTGGACAAGGCTTTGGGTGACATGGTTTAATATGAGATGTCCCTGCCCATGGCAAGGGGGTTGGAACTGGATGATCTTAAGGTCCTTTCCAACCCAAACTATTCTATGATTCTATAAAGAAGTTCTTTACTGTGAGGGTGGTGAGGCACTGGAATGGGTTGCCCAAAGAAGTGGTGAATGTTCCATACCTGGCAGTGTTCAAGACTAGTTTGGATGGGGCTTGGTCTAGTGTGAGGCATCCCTGCTCATGGCAAGGGGCTTGGAATTAGATGATCCTAAGATCCTTTGCAACCCAAACCATTCTATGATTCTACAGTTCTACACATAGATGACCAGCTATAGCAGAAAAATTAAAAGACCTAAGTGAAACATGTGACTAGAAAACATCGCTGTCTACCAAGCAATGACTGCAAGCTGGGGCTGCTGCATCTCTGGGTTGTCCCTAGAAATGGCAGCTCAGACCAAATAGCACATTAGAAATTTCAGAATATCCTTCAGCCTGAGGAGATAAGATTTATTTCTTCTCCAGTGCATATGTGCTCATCAATATGATCTATGTGCACACGTTTTGTGCACCATAAATCCTGTATAGCCAGTACCTGCCAGACATACTATGCATATGCATACTTCTCTACAGGATTTTCTGCATGGATGGAAGCCTTAGCAATCACTAAGTCACAGCCACACAGCTGGAAGGGATCTCAAGGCATCCAGTCCCCCCTACAGCAGTCTCTCTATCTTCTCCCTTCTTTACCCCAAGCCCTCCCATGATTAGATTAAAAAAATACCCAAAACACACCACAACAAAGGAACAAAAACCCACACCCACCAAAAACACCACACCAAAGCTTCCTCCAGCTTTACAATGAGGAGATAAAATTTAAATGCAGAGAGACTCATCCTAAATCTCCGGGGGTGTCCATGGGAGCGCCATTCCTTGTGTCTAGTACTATGCTCAGATCGCTCCCATCTTCTTGCACCCCCATGGCCTCTCCCCCAGTGGCAAATAACTCACCAGCTTAGGAGGGCTCCAATTGTAACATATAGAGTGAGTATATGGACACACATTTTTATGTATATGTACACACATACATATAAAAGTCCCCAGTACTCTGGCTGGAAGGAGGAAGAGGGAAATCCCTCCTTTCATCTAGACCTAAATGGGAAGACCTGGTTTGCACTGGAAGTGAGATTTCAGAGACGTAAGGAATGAATGGTCTGCTTTGTCTCCGCAGCTTTGATATATCAGTTCCTTCTGTGACAGACTTGTTAATCTTTCCAATGTTTCTTTTTCAAAAAAGACAAACACAGTGGATAAATGTGAAGGGCCAACCACATCCCCTCCCATAGGAAGTCTCGCCACATGGGCAATTCTTCCAAGTAAAGAAAACAGCCCACTTTATTTACAGGGTAAATCATTTTGACTTATCTTGCAGGGGTTTGCTCATAGCAAACTGACAGTTTCCCCCTGTTGCACAGTAAATGGCTGACGGGGAAAATGTTTTCCTTCCCACCATGTAGAAACAACCAGCCAGAAGGGAGGAGGGGTCAGGGACTTCATTTTTCTAATACTCCATTAATGTTCTCCTAGCTGACAATCACTGCAAAGGCCTGAACTCGCCACTCCAGGCAGCTCGAGCAAGAAACTTGAATCTCTACAGGGATTTTTAGCTAAGTACATTGACTCAAGTTAGAACTTTTGGTCTTAAAGGGTATGGTAACCTTTAAAATGATTTCCAAATAAGTGCCATTACTCTAGAAAAAAGAAAAACAAAAACTACCCAAAGTTTCTCCTTCTTTCTTCTACTTAAATCATTACCCTCAGAAAATGGTTACATCTTTGTTACCTAAAATGACAGGGCCGGAAGAGTAAGAGATTTTAAAGATGGAATATACCCACAGAGATTCATTAATTTCTTTCACATGCATTTTTTAATGACAGCCCACTGATCCCTCTTTTGGGTTTGGGTTTTGTGTTGGGTTTGGGTTTTTTTTGATTGTTTGGGGGTTTCTTTTTTTTGTGGTTTTGTGTTTATTTTGGGTTGGGTTTTTTTGTTTGGTTTGGTTTTAACGTACAGCCTAAATACACAACCAAAACTGGGATATAGAACAAATTTATATTGGCTTGCAGATGAAAGTTTTCAGCTCAGGGATGTAACTAGCCCTGATCTTTCTTCTGTGGAAGTCAGTGAGATCTCAAGATACCACATTCAAACACTCAGCTCAATTCACAAGCTCTGATCCAGATTGCAGCAGTAGCTGCCGTGGTTTTTCAAATCCAGCCAGCCTTCCAACTACATTTTCCTTGTGTCATCGCAAAGCAAAACACAAATGTTAAGACCAAAAACCTGTACGGAGGTTTGGGTTTCCTACCATGCCAGGTGAGCAACAGGATAATGCTGATAGAGTATAAAAGTAGTGCAGATACTGTATTTGCTGAAGGTGTGCTCATCAAAGTGGGAAAGACAGGATGAATTAGGCAGCTCAAAGCAATGCTTAGATAGGTCTGCTTTGGGACTGAAAGAGAAGAGAGCATTCTTACCACCACACTTGCACTGTTTCATCGGTATAAGCCACTCCACACAGACTTTGTTAATGATCAGCTAAACTGGGATAAACCGCAAGTGCAACAGTCAGTCTTGCTGGTTTCAACAGCGATTGCAACAGGCTGCAAGTATGTGCTTAAGTGTTTTCCACAATAGGAAGCTAAATAAACCATCTAAGATGATGGTCATCACACAAACAACATGAAGAAATCCACCAAGACTATTAGATGCCCTACACAAAGAGAGCAAGAGTGGCACTTTGCAACCTTAATACAGCAGGTTAAGTAATGTGCATGTTCCACATCCCCAATAATATCTTGGTTAGGAGAGACATTCATCAAGGCCAGACCTCAGGCAAAAATCTGTGTAATTGCAATGATTTATACCTTTTGACACTCTGGTCTGCTGACACTGGAAAGACAATGTACATCTGAGTTTGCTGCAAATATCCACTAACACGTTTTTCTGTTTTTGAGGGGTTAGAAATATGAAAACATATGTTCTGATTTATAAACTGCAGGTCAAACATGCAGGTGTTAATGGCTTTTTCCCTGAGATTTTCAACTCCAGCCAGACCTGTGTATGAGCGACCAATTAAAAAACAGAAAATAGCTCAGCATAATGGTGTTCCCATCATCTCATAGTAACAAAATAGCACAGCAAAATTAGAAACACAGACCTTTCCACCAGGACTCAACCTCCAGGTAAGAAAACAACTTGGGATCTTGCTCGAATCCAACAAATGCTTCTGCTTTGACCTTAAATGGAGTGATTTACAGTAATAATAAATGTTTTAAAGACCTTTCCAATTTAAATGGCTGACAGTTGAAAGTTTTTGCTAGTACAGTTAGCTGAATGATTAAAAGTAACTATAACCCTGCTGGTACTAATGAAGGCTGCACAAAGGTTCAGATTGCCTAATAGGTACATTTTTCTTTCTTGCTTTTTCCCTTCATTGTTCTAATATTCCCTTTGGGTCCCATCTGCACAGGTAAATTTATGATGTTGAGGATTATCCTGAAATATGGGTTCTATCTGCACTGGGTTAAAAGCCCAGGCAGGTAAATACAGTCATATCATAGGATTTGGGGCAGTTCTGCTGTCCCCATGCCTGGTCATGAGCATCATGCCACCAAAGGCAGTGTAGGTTAGGACTTCATTGCTTACTCTGCCTGTCTACAAGCAAAACAGGAATGGCAAAATCAATCCAGGGCCAGGACTCAAACTCCAATTTCCCATGAAATACAGTGACAACCATTGTAGATGCTTTCTAAGCTATGGCCAGAGAGACAGTGCCCAAGAACAGCTCAAGATTACCATTGTCTAGGTGAAGCTAATTTTGGAGGACTGAGCTGCTTTCTGGAGGGCTTTTTCTTTACTCTTTACCCAAGCTATTCCAACTAAGATGCCACCTTTAAACACCTACATTGGGAAAATTCAGGCTTTTAGCCCTGAATCACAGGATCAGACAGAAAAACACCTTTGCCTGCAAGCTCATGACTTCCAGTCTTCTGCATGGGAAGCTCCAGTGTCCCTGAAGTGGCATGTCAGACCGCACCTGCTTCAGGTCAACACAGCCATTCCTGTAGCCCACAAGGCACCAGAAGATGCCTCACTTGCAAAGATGCAAAAAACCATAGAAGCAAGGTGCTTGGAGATTGCCTAGCTCAAGCTCCCCCTTGCAGCAAGGTTATTGCAAACATCAGAGCAGGTCAGCCACTAGCTGAGTCTTGCGAGCCCCTAGCTGTGGTGATCCTAGCATCTTTCCTGGTTATCTGTTCCAGCACCACACCATTCCAAGCAAATCATTTTGTCTTAACTTGCAACGTTGGTAAGAAAAGACTGATACATCCAGATGTGCAAAGTACAAGTAGGCATTTAAAGATTAACCCGATTTTTCATTGCAATAGGTGGGTCATGTCACGCAAACATGCAATTCTTTGATACTTACTGGTGTTGTGGTTTGTTGGGGTTTTTATAAGGCTGGTTAGCCCTTTGGTTTACATAGGCTGAGAAACACTGCCCAAAATTGCCTGGAAGAAAAACCCCATACACTATTTCTTCCTGTTTTAAAGAGTATTTTCCCATCAGGTAGCATAACTTATAATTAAGCCAAAGATTTGTGAAGACAGCATGTCAGTATTGCCTTGAGACCACAGAATTGCTGAAAATTATTGTTTAATGGGGATTCAAAGTGGTTTTGCATCACTATATCAATATATAAATCAGCTACACAAAGTAAAAATGAACTGGCCACGTAATTCCCAGCAAGTCTAGCTTCTAGCAACAGTGTCGTGTAGAAAGCACCATCCTTTTCAATCCCAGTAAAAACATGGTATATGTGGTAGAAACTACAACCAAAGAAAGCTAGAGAACATCCTTTAAAAACATTCCAAACATCTTTCTTTTTCATGCCATGAGAGATGATTTTTTTCCTATTTCTTGTGAGGCACTCTGCTGTTTTGCTTATCATTCCTCAGGGACTGGTGACCTCATGAAGAAAAACAACCAGGACAGAATTAGCCTTTATTTATATATTAATACTTTTACCTCCAGCAGCAGCAGATACAATTTTGAGTCGAAAATCATAAATTTGTGAATGTTTGGATGGCAGCGCTCCTGCAAAGCTGTGGTAGCAGGAATTGCTGGGGAAGGCTGAACTGTGGTTGCCGATCGCTGCATTTATTAACGATTGGATCCAAAAATTAAGTGCGCACTCCAAAACCGACAAAAGCCAGGAAGATCTTTTGCATTCCCTGGATTTTATATCAAATCTTAAAGTAGAATCACAGCACGGGGGAGGGCACTGACAGGGAACACAAGACAGCAAACCTTGTCCAATACAAGCTCTCAACAGTATTAGCTAACAGGACGGCTTTGGGGAGGACTGGATAGCCAAGACCCCCCCACCCCACCCTACCACTGCCATCCCCCTTGGCCAGGGTCAGGTTAGCAAGTGACTGATCCTTGTCCTCACGCTGCCCAATGAGAGGTCCAGTCTCTCTGCCTCCCTCCCTCTCCAAAGCACCCCTGAGGGGTCTACAAGAGGGAGCTCCCACCCCGAGGGCCAGCAAGGCGGTGAAAAATGATACGAACCGAACAGCAAAATCAATATTTGGTCAGGCCAAGGAGGGACTATTGATTCTTTTCTCATGATATCCATGTCTCCTGCACTTCCTGCTTCTCCAGGGCACTGGAAACCCAAGTCCCTCCTAGACCAAGGGTGGCCAAGCTTTGACTCTGCAACATCTGTACCTCACAAGAAGTTCACATGTGATCTCCGAGGCCGATGCTTGTCCACTTGAGTGGCAGCAGGGACATGCTGGCACACGGGCTACTGGGTAAACCAGGAGGAAGTGGGATACCAGGAGATGCTAAGGGCAATGGCACTTGGTTAATGCTAGGGAGATGCTGCCAACTCCTGCCTCGGCCCTGCTCCTCACAGCTGTGTGGGTATGTCAAGTTTTTAGACTAACTTTTCATTCAATCCCCCACATTAATTTTGTCTAGTCTTTCTTACTGTCTCTGTCCCAGAAGACTTATGACTTGGGCAGAGACAGTGACTGGGTCCCTACAAATAGAGCGTCCAGGAACGGTTCCCAAACCTCACACTCAGGACCAGTGCCTGTGCACATCCCAGCCCTATGTATGGGGACCCTCATCCTAGCTCCAGATTTCCACGTGGTATGGGAAAAGGCAGCCGAGACCAAGGGCTGTTCTCCCATTAGGCTGATTAACACTTTCTTCCAGTTTCTCCCAGTTCCCTTACCACTGAGGGCCTTCTTGCAGGTAGCCATAGACAGTACATCATGATACCCATCACTGGGGACATCAGGCCAACAGGGGTATAAAGGCACACCTCTGTATCACTAACCACAGTCAGTTTAGCATCTCAAAACATGGCAGTTCTTTTCCAGGAAAAAGAAAAAAAAAGCTATTTTAAGGCTCTTCTTCCTCTGAGAAAGCTGGAATCTCCCTAAAAGCTACCCTAGATAAAGAGGAGTTTGCCAAACCACACACTGAACTGCTTGGTGCCTCCGTTTGTCCAGTTGCAATAGTTTTGAATTACTCTGGAAAGCACCCAGGAATACAAGGATGAGAAGAGCACGGGAAATGTTTCCTCTTCTTTCATCAAAACTTCTTTCTCCTGGGTTTAAAAGCAATACTCCCCGTAGCAGAAAGGCTGCTTTTAGCCAAGGCTTACAGAAACCTGCCAGATGCCTTGAACTCCAGGATGGAAAGCAACCAGTGAAGCTTTCAGCTTCTTACCTGGGCAAGAGGCCATTTGCTCTGAAGCAAGAATAAGATGGTGAAACAACCCTCCATGCATACCTGCACAACACCCATAAAACCAGGCCATGCAGAACATCTGTGCAGACATCTGACAACAACTGAACAACCAAACAGCACAGGTTATCCATGCCAGGGAACACATATGGAGGATTCCCACAACACCAAGTTCACCCAGAGTTTGATTCCACATGAAAACTAAGCCTCCCCAGCCAGCTGCACATCACACATTCTGACCCCTGGTATGGCTTACACTGGGAATGCTGAATCCCACTCTTCCACATAGTCTAGATATAAGAGGAAACAGTGCAGATGGAGCTGACTTTTGCCTCACAAGGTCTCAGAAAGCTTCTCCAGGTTTTGTGGGATCCTGACCTCCCATTGTTCTGCCATCATCCAGAAGGGCCTAATGGAAGTGGAAGAAAGCCTGGGAAAGCAAGGGATACCACATTGGGCAAAACCACACACCAAGGCAAACATGAGGCCAACAGCAAGAGGCTCACCCAAGAAAAGCATAACAAAGATGTGAACAGGGGTAGGCATGCTACTGAGAGCACCAGGTGGCACTCAGGGACAGCAGAGACACAGTGCACAGAGCTCTACCTCCAAAAGCCTACCCTCAAAAGAAACCAAATCAGCAGGCACCTGAATGAGGGCAGCTCCCATCACTGCTTGCAGGAACACAAACCAACCATGGCTGTGAGCGTCCTTTGGAGGTTGCATCTGGCAAAAAAGGGTTTGGGACGGTCTATAGAGAAAACATTCAGCCCTCAAGAAGACAAATATACAAGAGGGCTGGCTAGATGGTGGCTGCCCTTGTTAAACTTCATGGAAAAACACAACTTCTGCAAACCAAATTCCCTCACTAACCTCTTCCCCTTGTTGAAATATTAAACAAAAATAACTTCTCTTTTTATCTTTGAGCCAGTGGGACAAATTCATCATTAAAGAAACTTCGCTGAAGTCAACAGGGATATATCCGAGATGAAGAAATGAATTTGACCTATTGCATTTTGTGTCCTTATGTTCTAACTAATAACTAAATTGCTCAGACTTCTAGTCAATGGAATCTGAAAACCTGGCCAAAGCAGCTCGCTTCCTTCCCCCCAGTGTTGTTATCTGTACTTTCATATTGTTTTCTCTTTAAGTTTAGAAAAACAGGTATTTTCAGCCAATTTTATCACATAATAATTTTATGAGTCTATTGTCAAAATCTTAACATACAGTTTTTGTATATTAATTCCTGAAGCAGAAACTACGAAATAAGATTTTTTTTCTATTTAAAGCATTTAAAATTTTGCCAATTCCCACAAAATAAAGTTTTGTAGGTGTTTTAGGCACACAAAATTGTTAAAATGACTCCAGCCAAAGGATGCCTAGTCTGATCCAAGGATCTCCCTGGAAGATGCATGGAATGAAGTAAAACAGAGCTGCAGTGCACAACAGGAGCTGAAAATCAGTGTCTCAGCACACCAATAGCAGTTTCTACAGGGCCAGGATACACATTCCCACCAGGCAGAATATGAGAGATTCTGAGAAAGGAAGAGTTGCCAGCAAAGAAACTGGAAGATGATGAAATATAGAAGATACCAAAGGCAGTGTTAGGTGGAAGATGCATTTTGTGTCTCATGTTATACTGCCTGCCAGTCGATTACGGTGCAGCCTGTATAAACACATCATGCGTGCTCTGACAGGGAGTCGGGGTGAAGCAGGGTGTCAGGGTAAAACAGAGGATAATAAAATCACTTTAGATTTATTTCTCTAAATTGGAAACTTCATGCTTACACCTGACTAAATCATCAGCCTGAAACTTTAGCTCGACTCCCACAGAAAAAGTATGAAACCTTATCCCATCTTTGTTTAACAAAGGCCAATCAAGCTCGCCTAATGAATTCTGCAGCTGGAAGAGAGGGGACATGTATGGCTGTTTTAATTCTGCAGGGCTTCATCAGACCTGTCTCCAACATACCCATCTTACTCTTGAAGTGACTGAAGAGGTTTCGGTGCTCTCAAAGCTGGGTTGCCCCACTGCGGCCCATGGGCAAAGTGAACGCATGAGTGTGTTATCGGGCTTTAGCCGTGGCCTTCATAAATCCTGACAAGCATTAAGAAAAGCATCGCAGGTGGCTGGTGGCAGGAGCTGGAGGATGGTAGTGCTTGGCCCTGCTCCTCCCTAGCCCAGCAGGAGCAGGGCACCTCTGCCACCATCCCACCATCAGTGAGTCTCTCAGCAAGCAAAGTGCAAAAGGACCCTTTCTTTTTTTAATAGAAAAAGAAAAGTCTAGCATAAGGAGCTGGTTAAAAAACAATAAATCAGTGGTGAAATGTGGATAACAACCTTCTCTGTAAAATCAACATGGATTGTGTTCCTGCAGAGAGCCATCTGACAGCCTGGTTGAAGCTTGACTGCTTGCAGCCAGATTTCTTTTTCTTTCCACAAGCTCAAGGAGTATCTTGGATCAGAGGGAGGCGAGGAGGTCTCTTCCTTTTGTACATGGCTCTGCTGCGTTAGAAAATCAATAAGCAAGGTCCTGACCTCAGCATAACTTTGGGCATCACTCACGACTTTGAATCTCTTCCCCCACAAAAACCTAGCTTTCCGTTTAATCGTGCACACCAGAGGGAGTGCTGGCAGGGAGGGGAGGTCTTGCCTCAAGATATCAGCAAAACCCGTTTGCACCCATCCTTCCTGATGGGTAGAAATCAAATTAGAAGAGGAACGCACCCAGGGAGGGCGAGGGGA